TATTAATTTATAATTTATTATTACTTTCTAATTTATTATTAATTTATTATTATTATTTATTTATTTATTGATTTATTATCATATCATACGAGTATCTTTAAGTAATCAGAACACTTAATGGAATTAGTATTTCTTTCTAATTTGGTCAGTTGTGATAACAAATTTCGTCTGCTTTTAAAGAATTAAATAATTATTAATTATAATTTACATTATATGCTAGTTAAATGAACAGAAGCGAATGAATATTGTCGAAAAAAATAACAAATACAAGATATATATATGCAAATACATTCTAAGCTATGTAGTAATAATATTAAAATTCCTCTTTCATATTTTGTTATATTATTTTAAATTAAAAGAATATAAGTAAATATTTGTAACAAAATATATTAAAAATTTATACATATAATTGCATTTATACTATTTAGAAGAAGGTGATTATTAACGATATACAGATTTGTGTAAGCAATCTTATTGAGATATACCGCAGAAATAGTGGGATTGTTAATAAGCTACACATATGTTTTTTCATTTTGTGAAAACTCATTTTCTAAAGAATTTCGTGTAAGTTGAGAAGTTTTTTTTTGTAAATCTTAAGGGATTGTCATATGTGCTTCATGTGACCTTACACTGATTCTTTGGACACAGTATCTAGGATCACGGTGATAATCATATTTATAGTTTATAATAAAAAATTAATACATTATGAAAATAATATTTAACATTCTTATTTTTTTAGATTCCACATTTCCACATTAACTAATTGGAACTTTTTATTTCCATTTAACTTCTACTTGACAATCAACTGAATTTCAATAAATGGTTTATCGTTTTTTATAACAATTTTATTGCTTAATAATTTTTTAATTTTTTATTTGATTTTTTTTAATTACTTTTAATTCTATGCACTTAAGATTAAAAACTTTATTATTGTTCGTAGCATTTACTGCGACCCAAGTTTATTAGTTTTTTATCTTAAAATGTGAACATGCTTAAATAAATGTTGGGGTGTTGTATTTTCGTATATGTGACTTTTACTAAATATTACACATATTATGAGATTTGAAATATTTTTTCATTATGTTATACGCTTTTGAAGTTTTTATTGTATTTGTTTCGAAACAATTGCAATTATTTTATGATGGCAAAAGTTGTAAATGTACTCTTCTATCGCTCTTGACTTAATGACGAATAGCTCTCATATATCGTATATTATTCTTATATCGTTAGATGAAAATATCTGTATGTATACTTCTTAAAACACAT